TGCATTTGGAAGTTTTATGATTACTCCACAAGGACGAGAAGAGCAGAAAGAAATAGGCATTTTCAGATTTGGGAACGATGTTCATCTCGGGAGTAGTGAAGTAATAAAGTGAGCATGATACAATAAAAGCAGTGATAAAGAAGAGATTAAAGGTTCGGTAAAGCCTTGCTAGTGGTACGATGGCAAAAAAACAATTGGTTTTTATATACGCCACCTGGAGGGTCGGAGACAGCGAGTGAATATTGTTTTCAAGACTCGAAGTTTGGCTATATTGCAAGGCCAAAGACACTAACGATGAAGTACATAGATTTATTTTCCCATTTAACTGTGCAGCTACCTAAAGAGAGGAGTAATTTTAAAGGTAATTAGATTGTTGAAATGCGCATAATATGTGTAAGGTAAGCAGAATATAGATGAATAATGCTGGGGAACCTGCTATATGCCAAAAATGAGGGCTCTGGAGCCACAAAGCAGCATACAATGATGTATAGGAATTCAAATAAAATGCAACGGATATATTCCATTAGTCTCTAGAACGGCGCAGTTACTCAGAATGGGCGTAATTCAAGAGCAATAACTCACCTTTAGACGAAATCCTGACTTGTAACACGAAACTAGATTACTGAAGGCAATTTATCATTAACAAATATGGCAAAAAATACCAGTAAACCAGTGAACAATCCGGACGGTGTAAATAGTGAACTAAGAGAAAGGTGAAGAATATTTTGTTGCAATATCGTGTATTAAACCAACTCTAAGAATATAATTATTTAGGACCAGACGAGTCACGAAACTGATCCTAAGCAGAGCACAGGATAACATAGTACGTAAGTTTGATTGTCAATAAAAACGGAAATTCCAAAACCGTCTGCTTCTAAGCAACGGTTTTTAGAAGCCAGATTAGACAAAAGTGGCTGATTTTCATAATCAACAATAGATAATCTACAGCTTTAAAGCTGAATAAGGAGCCTAGTGAAACCACTTTAATAATGCGTTGAGAATACATGCTGGTAAGCATAGTTATGTGAAATTAAGGACAGAAGTGAGGCCTAGGCAAATAATAGTTAAAAAGTACAGCTACTAATACACCAACTTAGACGAAATAGGATGAACAGTTCCTATTCAAGATCTGCTGCTAGTTTCAATAGCTTATCTTCAAAAGGCATAATATTATTCTTTTTAGGAATGGAAGTCTTAGGGCATTCGCAATGGCTGCAAGATTTTAACATGGATAAATAAGTGAAATTAGGAATTAATCTTCGATCTTCAGTAAAGTTGTACAAATATTACGATCGCCTGAGAAATTCGATGGGAAATTATAAATAGAATACTGTTTGAATTGGATGCAAAAATTGGATAAATAAGGAAAAACGCACCGTCTGTAGAATTGTCCCAATAGCATGAACTTGCGGTATGCAGTCCAGCACCATTTTTCTGCATAATGATGCAGGTTACTACAAAATTAAAATCTAGTAAAAAGTACCTATATATTTGAAAGGTTTGTTGAGCTTAGTTAACTGACTCAAACATTGTTCGATGATTGTAGATGTCCAATGTTGAACTTTATTATGCGAGTAGACGTTCGAGCCGATTGTGCCTTCTATGCTCTGGAACTTTTAGCAAAGACTCGCTTACTTCCTTTACGATATTCGTTACCTCGTCAACGACAAAATTTGTCTATAAAAAATTAGAGATTATAAAAGCTAACGTCTTCGGCGGTCTGGAAATCATCCATGTCAAAATGTAAGAACAAAACTGTTGCCTAGATGATATATCCAAAAAAGCGAGCGCGCATAACAAAATATATTTTGGCGGAATGAAACACACAAAATATTACTTTATAGTATTTAAGTTATAAATATTCTTTATTTAATATATATAGGTTATTTTTTTTAGAGATTTTAAATGAACTCTGAACAATTTAAAATCAATAAGTTTTGGACCTAGATGAATGTATCTGATAATTCTCAGAATAAAACTTAATCGAATGGTTT